CCCGGCCCCGCCCCGGCCCCGGCACCCCTCCGGGCACAGCTCCGGGCACAGCTCCGGCACAGCTCCGGCACAGCTCCGGGCACAGCTCCGGGCACAGCTCCGGGCACAGCTCTGGACACAGCTCCGGGTACAGCTCTGGGCACAGCTCCGGGCACAGCCCCGGGCACAGCTCCGGGCACAGCTCCGGGCACAGCTCCGGGCACAGCCCCGGGCACAGCTCCGGGCACCCAGGACCAGCCTGGCAGTTCCCAGCCTCCGCCTGCCCCTTCCAGGGCTCCCAGACAGCGCTTCCAGCCCCGCTGTGCCCCCTGGAACTGTCACAAATTCCCGTCGCATCCACGTCCTTGCCCAGTTCCATTGTTTTAAACCCAGTTTTGCCCACCGATGTTGTTTTTATGGTTTTTTGTTTTTTTTTATTTTTTTTCTTTTTTTTTTTTGCCTAATTGGAAATTACTACAATCAGAAATGCTGAATCAGAAACTGAATTTATGGGAAAAAGTTGAGCAAAGAAATCCCGTGTTTCAGCTTCCTCTTCTGGTAGTGATTACCACGATGTGCAGGGGCAAAAGAAGCAGTAAAAATTTTATAGACTGAGTTTTCAAGAAAGAAATATTATTTTTTTCCTTTGGATTTGTGTTGAGGGAACTCTGGATGAAAGTTGAGAAGGGCTCAGGCTGCACCTCCAGTGTGAACAGGACGCCCTTCAGTTTGAGGTTACCTTTTTTTTAATTTTTTTTTCTTTTTGCTGAGTGACAAATCTGGCCTAGTGAAGGTGAAACTAAATTGCTTCTGTAGCACTTTAAAGTTGCGATTACTCGGGGTGCAGATGGCTGGCAGCTGGCTGGAGCAAAAGCTTCCTGAAACTTTGTTCTTTCATAACCCGTTTGTGAAATGTCTGCACTTTTTTTGGTCAACTTCCAGTTTCACAGTTTTCAGCTGTGAAAGAGAAGCATAAAATGGCCTCACACCTCGCTCGCCTTTGCTCTGGAGCTGTAAATATTGCCACGGTTTGGGTTGGAAAGTTTCGTTTCGATGCCTGATGGTTGGGGGGATTCGTGGCTTATTTTTTTGGAGGAGGTTTTGATGGCAGACGGAGCCTCCTGGCAGTGCTGGCTCCCTCCTGCATCTTTCTGCAGCCTCCCTTCCCCGCTCCGAGCATCCCGTCCCAGCTCCGAACCATCTCCATTTGTCACCGGTAAATAGCAAAGCCGGCAGATGTTTTGAAAACAGGATGCTCGGGTTGAGCGTTATTAAAGAAAAAAACGGAAAGAGAAACAGTCTAGATAGGAAGAAAGCAAATGGGCTCGGCATGCTCCCAAGAGCAGCAGCAGAATAAACACTGACCTATCTTCCTGACCTCCGCTCTCGCCAGTTCCTGGCCCCGCGCCACCCAAGCCAAACTACGTCAGTTGAGCCTGATAGTAGGCATGGCACAGCTGTTGCAAGTGTGACTCGAATTTCCTGTCTCCTTCCTGACAGACGTAGTTTAGAAAATCCAGAGTTGCAACAACAGCGCGGAGAGAGGCGGAGAGGGAGGCTCTCGGCATCCGTGAGCGCTGGGGGGATTCTGCGGCAACAAAAAAAACCCATAAAAAATCCAAAAAAAAATAAAAGGAGGCAGCGGAGGGGGAAGAGCCATGCGGGACGGCAACCGGGATTTGAGCTAATGGGGTTCGGAAGGCAGCGATTAAAACATGTGCGTATTGCTCGTTAAGGCGGGGGTTAAGCGCAGGAGGAGCTCGGGAAGGAGCGGCTCGGCTGGAGGGGCTGTGCTCACACCGGGGACCCCGCAGAGACCCCACGGACACGGGCAGAGAGGGGGAGCTCCGTTCCCCTTGGGGCTGGCACCGAGTCCTGATGCATTTCCAGTGCAAACCAGCCCAGGCTGTGTGCACAAATAACCCTGCACGTCTCATCTTTCTAATTTAGAGAGAGAGAAAAAAAATAACCTGCAAAAATACCTGTTTGCAGCTGCCACGAAGGGAGTTTGTTTTTCCTAACACTGGATTTCCTAACTTCTTTTGCTGGGAGGTGATAGGGCCCTGCAGCTTTGCACTGAAACAAAATAACCTGGAAGGAGTTCTGCAGGTAATGCCTGAGGGAGCAAACCACACTAATTTACATTATTGTTACGTATATACTCAATTTTTCCTGCGTTTATCACCCTGTCCAGCTTCCAGCTGCATCAACTGCTGTGTCAGGAGGGATTGTGAGTCAGTGATGATAAAAAAGGGGTATTTTCTGTCTTGGCATCAGGCAGCTGTCCTTAGCCTCACTTTGCTGCAGATGGGACCAGCTCTAGTCCCCAATTCGGGATGTGGGGCAGGATTTGCTCAGTGCATCCCCTGGATCATGAGAAGGAGCAGTTTTTTTCCCAGTTGAAATGCTGGCCTGGCCAGCTCCAGGTTTTCATGGGGCCATCCCATCATGAAACGGAGGGATGGAGAACACGGATTGTTCCTGCAGAGCTGCAGAGTGCGGGATGCAGCCCAAACAGAGATACCTGAGATACTCCAGGGAGCTGAGCAGCACCTCTGCCTCCCCTTCAATCCTACCAGGCTAATTCAGAGATTCCTGCAGTCCACGGAGAGCAGAATTTGTCATCTCTGGGGTACTCAAAGTGTAAATAGAGTGTGAGTGGTATCCTCTCATGACTTTACAAACTCTCTTGTCCCTACCCAAGCTGATACTTGGAGGACTCTTCCTTGTGAATCCTTAAAATGTGATTGCAGCTCTTAAAGATGTTTCTGTTATTCCCAAGCTCTGGATAACTCCAGCACAACCGCTCCGCTCTCCTCTCTCCCCTGTGAGCCGCAACATAAACACAACCCATCGCGTTTTGCTTGGATTTCAAAGGGCGCTTCGGTCCGAAAAGCGGAGGTTTAAGGTTTAAGGTTTAAGGGTGCTTAAACAAACATCTGGCCACGAATGTAAACCTTTGGAGGTGGCGGCCGAGTGCCAGCGGTGGATGTGCCGTGCCCGCAGCCCCCAGCCCCATCCCCTTGCTACGTGATGTTTCCCTTAAGCGGTGCCGAGCTGTTTAGTCTTCCCCCGGCTTTGCGCTGCCACTTCCTTTGTTTAATCGCCGCACAAAGAGAGGTTTGTTCGCCTCGGCGGAACAAAGACACTTCCACGTCTCCTGTTTTTCCGAGGCGGGATGAATCACTGAGCTCCGCCGCTATTGCCGGGGATTTGCGTTGGGGAAGCGGCGCTCGGAGCGCCCCGGCGGGGCCGGCCACGCTCCGCACCCCCCGCACCCCGCTCCGCTTTGACGTCTCTCTTTAACCATTCCCTGCCCGAGCAGGACCCCGAGCCGGAGACATGCTCCAGGAGGTAGGAGCTGGTTTTTTGGCTCGTTTTAGGGTTATTCCAGCAGCTGGATGTTATCTGGTGGTGTCCGCGGTGAGGATGTCCTTGTGCTAAAGGACAGGGCGCTGCGGGAGCGGGGTTTGCTCAGAGGGGTGAGCGGGAGCTTCCAGGGAAAGCTGCTGGATGGGGAGGGAACAGCTCTGGGTGCTGGATCTGAGCCAGGCTGGAAACCCCTCGGGATTTGGGGAGCTTGGTCCCAGTCAGCTCCTGTGTACCAGTCATCATAAATGGACTTTT